GAATGAGTATTTGAGGTGAAAACCTGCTAGAATTTTACTGTTGTATTTATGTGTGGACACAGTGCTTGCGTGCTTGTATGGTATATTGCTGTAGTGTTCTGTCATATACAACTTCTTAAACAGAAATGGATACTGGCATGATGACACATGGATGGTGCGTCACAAATGGAAGAAGTTTGATTTCCAAAGCAGGTCGAGAGTATGTTTTCCAACCAGACTATGGTTCCTTTATAGTTCCTTTTGGTTCCTGAGGCAAGATTTTTAAAATGCAGAAATCCAGTTACTTGTTCAGATGGTGTTTTGAATGTTTGTGTATTGTCTACTGCATCCCTATAATAGATTTGTTACAAATTCCATAGTAATTTTTAGGAGTAAAATCTTTAGTTCAGTAACAAACATGAGCTTGTACAAACTTATGTTTAAAAAAAACAAGAAAGGTTGAGGTGAAAATTTCAGTTGCCTGAAAGATGGTTTGTTTTCATTTGGGGGTTTTATGCTCAGTTGCCTTTGAACACGCTTAAGCATCTCTGGTTCAAAATGCTTATTACAGTACTTCTGAAAGTATAGTGAATAAAGACATTCTTGTTACTGACCCTTTAAGTACATTGGCATTTCCAGTTGGATTCAGAATTCTGTTTTTGTTTCTCTGATAATCTTTCCATCAGTTATTAAGTGTGGTGTAGACAAATCCTGTAGTCTGATTCTTTAACAACTACTTTTTTTCCTTTTTCAGTGCAGAGTGTTTTCATTATAAGGAAATGTTGTTAATATAGTATTTCCTATTGTCTTGAACTGGGTTGATTTTTAAGGTAGGAACTACCATCCCAAATTGCAGATCTGCAGAATGGGATCTTAGGGAAAGACACTTCAAGTACACTTTTGATTGTAACTTACCGCTGTTCCAAAGTTGTTGCTTTCTGGTAACAGCAGTTTGTTAGTTGCAGAATTCTGCGATTGGTGTCTTTTTCTTGAAAAAGCTAAAATGGTATATTTGAAGCGTTGTTCTTGGGCTTTTCATCCTTCCACATGCGTTTTGATATCACATCATCTCATGCTTGTCCTGGCATATTAAAAGCTATAATGGCTTGCATTAAAATCAGCTTGAAAGAGTAAATGTTTCTTTTTTTCTAAATTATTGGTAATGGTTTTTTTCCTTACAGTGTAATTAAAATAGTAGATTATGATTATATGTTGCAACTGGTGACTTCTAATGAAAGCCTAAGTATTTTTTCATAAAATAATATTAAAATACTGTGCTTCATGCATTTAAAGATGAACAAACCTAATGAATTGGTTTGGACACTAGACAGTTGCCTTATAATTATGGGTCTGCCTGTTGAAATAGCATTTCAAACAGATAAAGTTGGCTGATGCAGTCCATAGTGGATAATGAAATAGTGTATAGACCACACTTTCATGCAGAAAGCCTTACTTACATATGGAAGACTATACCATGTTGGTACCTTATTTTATCTAGGTATCCCAAAATGCTGCTGCTCATTTTCATTAAGTTCTATTCTGACATACACTTGAACAGAAAAGAATGCAAAGTGCTGAAAAATAACTGGAAGCCTAAAATTACTTTGGGTGCTTCCCCCAGTATGAGCTAAGCAGAAGCAACAGCTACTTAAATTCTGCTACTGTGCGAATGCTTTAGGAATTTAAGTGGCTTACTTTATGGTGTCACACTAGAATAGTTACTCCTTTTCCATTTCTGATTTAGCTCTGACTCCTTTGAAAAAACCAACGATAAACCAAAACACACATAAAAAGCCCCAACCCTTGAACATATGCCATTTTTTTTTTTTTTTGTTATAACTAAAAATGTCATCTCCTTAGAAAGATGTTAAGTCATGATTTGCTAAAATGTGCTGCACGTTTGCTGTCATAAACAACAGTGAGAAAATGGTTGTACAATTTCAAGCTTTTTAATTGGATTGTGCACTCATTTTGAGTTGTTACTGTTTTGAGTTCTTACGACAAAAAGTTCAGATACCGTTAACTAAGCATTTTTTTTCTCTGCCTTAATTTATTGAATTAATCCTTTAATTAATGGCCTTTGGGATATATCCTTCTAGTAGAGGAGCTTGTGCTAAGAGAGATCCCTTTTACAGAACTAGAAAGTTAATATTAGCTGTTTCCTCAGTGAGACACTATCCTCTGTGTGCCTTTTGCAAGCGAACGTTGACAGGCTCATAGGAAATGCAGCTGACGTTAGGAAGCTTGGGTGGGGACTACAAGGAGCTGGCAAATACTACAGGATTTAGTGCCAGACTTGCTGACACAACAGTACTTTACTTGTAAAAGTTTTCTTTAGGCTGCTAATTCTATCTTCAGAGTAACTGGAACTAAAGCACTGTCTCCGATGCCAAGTCAAAACAGCTAAAGCAACAGTTTATGGGAAATTGAGAATGCTGGGTTTTTTCCACAGCTTAAATCGTCAGAAATATTGGTCAAAAGAACAAGCTTCTCTCTTAATGAAAGGATGAGTTATGAACAGTGCCGTAGAATGAATGCACTGCAAAATAAGTCCCACCTAACTGTAGAGTAAATGGCAAAAACAGTTCAAAGGGGGAAAGGCTAGCAGTGTAAAGTATCTGTAAATACCAAGCTCTGTCTGTTTTATATCATAGTTTCCATTTATTTGATTTGCCAGTTGGTAGTCATATTTCCTAAGGCACGCTTTTAATAGCTTCCCTTAGCCTTCAAATAAAAATTCTTTACTTCAAGTGTATCTAGACATTGAGAAATGCTATATTGTCGAATGTGAACACTGTTACAGCAGTTTGACTGTGTCATCTTAAATAGAATGTATTTTGTCTTGAATTTACATTATTTCTGGTTGATGTAAAAGCCTAAGGAGCAGTAAAGCAAAGCTTTGAAGGGATATGAGAGTGCAATCCAGCTTCTGTTTGTTTTGCAGAAGTTCAGACAGAGTATGAGCTGCCGCTACCCTGTCGTCTCCGTTTCTGTATGTGGGAGGGCTTTCAGGTGACATCATGGAGAGGAATCTTGCAGGGGGAGTCATGCCTGACATAGAACATAAAAAGATGGTGTTGTCTTGGTGGAAGAATACAGTTCTATTACATAAGCATTTTGGCATTTTTGGATTTCGGCATCACTCTTACATTTTAGGAGAGCTTCCTTCCCTTTTCTGGAGTGCTAGAAGTACTTAACAGGATTCAAAACCAGTGTTGGAAGAAATGAGATTCAGATGGTGTATTTAATATGTTCAGTGTTTGCTTGGTGCAGCATGCCATGCCAGGTTAGCTTTAGTATTGTTGCCCCTTTTAAGGTAAGCAGCTGCATTGTACTCTCTCACAAAAGTAAAATCTCAGTAGGAGACTGAAGTGGCTTTGCCTGGAGCAACTGTATGGCAGTATCTTGCATCTGGGGGAGGCATTGGCTTCTGGGGGAGGTATCTTGCATCTGGGGGAGGCATTGGCATTGCCTCATCCCTGGAAGTGTTGCCCCATCCCTGGAAGTGTTCAAGGCCAGGCTGGATGGGGCCTTGAGCAACCTGGTCTAGTGGGAGGTGTCCCTGCCCATGGCAGGGGGGTTGGAACTCGATGATCTTTGAGGTCCCTTCCAACCCAAACCATTCTATGATTCTGCTGACCTCAGAATTGTAGATTACCTTTGAAGTCCCGTGTTCCCTGATTATTGTATTAAGGTAAAATGAAAAATAAGCAATATATAAATAGAAGGAAAGACTATTTTTAAGTCGTGGAGGGGTTTTACATGAACTATTGTCATAAAAAGTCAAAAATGGTTTGAACAGTTTTTCTCTGAGATCATGTTCATCATCGTATATAACAACTCTCATAAGTTCAATTCTTTAACACCGTGGTGTCTTTCAGACCAAGATTTATCTTTTCCTGAAGATTAGCATTTAGAAAGTTTGCTTTTAAATCTACAAAATGTAACCTGGTGCTCTCTGAAAGCTGTGTAGCAAGTTGCTATGTAGCAAGTTACTATGTAGCCCATGACTTGACCAAATCAAGCTGTACAGCACACCATGAATTTTTTGTGTAGCTCTTGGTGGCTATCTGTTCTCATGTCTGTCTGGACGTTCTATAGCACAACTCTAGGATTTACTCTTCTGTAGTGCCTGATCACTCCCAAATAGTTGCCTGCCTCGTTTTCCCTCCAAGCATGTAAATTTTCATTCTGAACCAGATCCTGGGCTTAACAGTGTGGATGTACCCAGGAAGGCACTGTGTGTTAGCTCCATATTAGGGGCTTGGAGGACATGTTTGGGGAAGACAATAGAGGTTTGTTTAACAAAAGATTAATTTCCTTTGAGGTGATAACAGATAACCTTTAGAGAATGTGAAGTCTTTGTCTTGGTCACTCAAATTTGTTGAATGAAAAAGGATCTGATAGCTGTAATGGTGACATTTTGCTTCCAGGGAGGAGTTTCTTTGTTTGCTAAAAATTGTGCAGTATCACTGAAGTGATCTGGACTGTGTCCAAGATTTAAACTGTCTCATGGGATGTATTGCTGGCATTCTCTGTGGCCTGCTTAAGCATTTTTGTTTACAGATGTGTAGAGTCAGCTATTTGCAGTGCAGTGAGACTGCACTTCCTGTGGGTTGAATGGTGTTGCCTAACTGTGGTCAGCTGAATTCCTTGGACAAGAGTTGAATTTTTGTAATGTAAAGTCAATAGACTTTGCTAACAATAGCTGGCAATGAATGCACGTGCAAGGCTAGCATGAAATAATTTCTGATTGTGTATTAAATATTGTGCACTCTGTTCTTCAGCTTTTCTTGCATGGTTCTGACAAACATGAGCTTCAAGAATGGCTTTGTAATTATCCATTGCATCTTTACTTGTGAGCAGGATAATCAACTGTGATTGTATGCAATTTTTATAAAGCTTATAGATTGATATGTACTTTTACTTCAGAACACTTTTTCAGAAACTTAGTAGTTGATGCCAGTTTTCCTGGACATTGATAAAATTTGAGTATCAAACTTTTTTTTTTTTTTTTTCAGATGGAGCAATTATCAGATGAAGAACTTGACCATGGTGCGGAAGAAGATAGTGATAAGGAAGATCAGGATCTGGACAAGATGTTTGGGGCCTGGCTGGGGGAACTGGACAAACTCACACAGGTTAGGGGGGTTTCAGTCATCTCAGAATAATTCTTTATAAGTATTACAAGTTTCTTTTCAGTTGGATGCTAACTACTTAGCACTACACTTGCAGTAAGGTAGACTGTTGCATGTGACCAGCTCAGTGCTCTGTAAATGTCTCTGAATTGGCTTATTTTCCCCATCTCAAAGTTGTTAAATTCATTTTTCACAACTTGCTAGTTTGACTTTTCCTAAAGATTATGATTCCTTCTGACAACTATAGAATTGGTACTTTGTCCTCATGTGTATGGAGAAACACTGACTTTAGCTGGCTAGAGGTAGGCTGTATCTCCAAACATATAGTTGGACAGCATTTATTCATTGCACCTGAATAGCAATAAGGAACAAGAAATTATGGATGTTGCCACTTGATGACATAGTAAGGTGCCCTGATACACCCTAGAGGCTTCACTATTATTCCAGAGAACTCTTCGTACATCAGAGAGGCAGCTGATAGACTGTGTTCTTGTGGGACTTCCTTCTTTCTAGTGCTTTTATTCTAGTGCTTTTACTTCACAAGCAGATCTTGCATTTTGCATATGCCAGACTCCTGAGGTAATAGGCCATTTCTTTGTGACTGCCTGCTGTGTTTTTTTCAGCCGTGAGCTGGCTCTCCTGAATAACATATTTCATCTTCTCCCACTTTATCACATAGAGTTATGAAAACGTATGATAACTCAAGTATCAGTAAGCTAGAGAAGAGGCAGCTTTTCTCATCTTCATCATATTCAAGGCTGAAGGAAAATCGAGCTAATCATGTGACAGCATTTAAAATTCAGGCTCATCTCTATTATTTTCTGGTTAGATCTCTGCCTGCAAGATCTAAATGTAGATAGCACTCTAGGAGTAAAATGGATTATTTTTTTTTCTGAACTTGTGCAATAAGGGCAATAAAGAATCCTGCCTCTTGAGGTAAATCGAAGACAGTGTGAAATAAATCTGTCTATCATAGTTCTCATTGTTTTTTAACTTCCTATGAAGGAGTTTTAATGGTAGGTGGGAGCCATTTTGAAGGCGTGGGGTCTGTAAATTACAAATGAGATCTTCACAGAGGAGTACAATATGTAATTGATCTTAGACCTTTTGATCTCTGCCTTGTTTTTTTTTTTCAGGTATGAGCAGCCTAGAAATAGAAGTATACTTTATGTGGGGCTTACAGCTACCCTGTTGACATAACTTTTTGGTGATGTCTCAGTTTGTGTGCTGATCCATGCAAAATTCTTAAAACCTACTAACAGATAGTTGAGGGAAGGACTCATATTATTTGTTTCTCACTTTCATATTGCTGTAACATAGCCTGCAGTTGTCTTTCTGTCTTTTGCAACTTCTGAGAAATGACATTTCCCCCAAAACTTTGAATGACACCATATGCTTTTGTATAAACAAGTTAATGCAGTTAGTTGCGTCTCAGTTCATTTGTTTGGAAAGTGATTATGTCTTTATGCAGCTGACCCAATAAAGTCCCAATATAGGTGGGGTGATTAGAGCTAGTGAGCTCCAAAGTGCATTCTCCTGTACGCTCAGCATTTGTTGCTATTTATCAGCTGGACTCAAAGGTCGGTAGGAAGAAAGGGGTTTTGTCCCCAGGTTCCTTGACTTTTTTTATTTCATAAATGTTTATTTTGAGGGGATTGAAAGTAAGACCCAGATTTCTTTCCAGATGAAAATGCTTTTTAAAAGATTCATAATTCTTAATGCCCATGAGATCATTTGAATTCACTTTGCCCTCTTTAACTGTTGGTCAATAAAAGCATTATAAAATATAGTCACAAAATTCACAGCACATGCAAGCAGTGTTTGGCACTGATGTGGAGTGCACTAACTTTTATCCTGCTTTATAGTGCAGGTTAGATGAAGAAAAACTTACTGTGCTTATATGATCATTCAGAACTAAGCTTTTGGTGCTGTTGCAGATTTTAGCAATTCTCTAAACTGATGCTTTAGCATCATAATGTGTTATGGAGAATGTGACAGTATATTGCATATGTTTCCAAGGATGTGAAGTAATTTAATTATTATTAAATTAACTGAAATACATTTTAGATGCTTTTAGCCAGAATATATTTGCTTTACAGGAAATCTTTTGTGGCAGTCTATGGGTTTAGTCTGAAGGAATGAGCCAGTTTCAGAAGTAGCACATCTCTGCTGCCTCTAGGGTTATAGATATATACTTTTTTATTTTATTTTTAAAATATTCTTTTTCAGCAATTTTGTAAGGTCCACCAGAGGCACTAGGGGTGAGGTTTTTTCCACCTGATGAAAGACAAGGCTGCATCTACTGGCTTCTCATTCAGTGATGACTGACTTCCCAATAAAGTGATTTTATTTTTTTTTTTGAAGTTCAAGCCAAACTGATAAGTTAGTTCAGTGAAGATAAATATTAGGGGGAAAAAAATAGTGCATTTGATTTTTAAGAAGGGCGTGAGTAAAGATGTAGAAAATGGAAACAAAAACCTTAGGTGAGGAATTTTCATAGAATCCTTTAGGTTGGAAAACACCTTTAAGATCATCGAGTCCAACTATTAGCCTAGCACTGCCAAGTCCACCACTAAACCATGTCTCTAAGCTCCACATTTACCCGTCTTTTAAATAATTCCAGGGATGCTGAATCCACCATTTCCCTGGGCAACCCTTTTGGTGAAGAAATTATTCCTAATGTCCAATCTAAATCTCCCATGGTGCAGCTTGAGGCTGTTTCCTGTTGTTTTATTGGTTAATACTTGAAAGAAGAGACCCACCCTCACTTTGCTATAACCTCCTTTCAGGTAGCTGTAGAGAGCAATATGGTCTCCCCTGAGCCTCCTTTTCTCCAGGCTAAACAATACCAGTTCCCTCAGCCATCTTTTGTAAGACTTGTGCTCTAGACCCTTCAACAGCTTCATAGAACCATAGAATGGTTTGGGTTTGAAGGGACCTTAAAGATCATCTAGTTGCACCCCCCTGCCTTGGGTAGGGATGCCTCCCACTAGACCAGCTTAATCAAAGCCCTGTCCAACTTGGTCTTGAACACCTCCAGGGATGGGGCATCCACAGTTTGTCTGGGCAACCTGTTCCAGTGTCTCACCACTCTCACAGCAAAAAAATTCTTCCTAATATCTAACCTAAGACTTCCCTCTTTCAGTTTAAAACCATTACCCCTTGTCCTATCACTGCACTCCCTGATAGTGAGTGATAGAGTTCCTCCCCATCTCTCCTTCAGGCCTCCTTTAGGTACTGGAAAGCTGCTGTAAGGTCTCCCCAGAGAGAGTGGGAGAGACCTATTCTCTTCTCCAAGCTGAACAACTCCAATTCTCTCAGCCTGTTTTCACAGGAGAGCTGCACCAGCCCTCTGATGCTTTCATGCACCTACTCAGGACCACTACAGCAGGTCTATGTCCTTCCTGTGCTA